TTTGTTTCTCAGTTACAGTTCCCAAGTAATGCTCATTTACATTCTAGGTTGGTGCTTGGCAATGTAAAGTCGTGGAAATAGCCGGCAAAGCTACTTAGGATTGTGTTGAAAATGCTGGGAGAGAAAAAGCAAATAATCGTGAAAAGAGACCTTTACACAGACCCCACGTTTCCAGCTAGTGATACCTCTATATTTTTTGATTATTGTACCCCGCTTGCTCAATTCAGAGGCGAGATATCTTGGTTGAGACCTAAGGTGAGTTTTAAGATATAAAAGCCCATGATTTTAGCAGAACTGGACTTCAAGGTAGTAAATGGTATTTAGCATTGAGTGACTGCTGCTGGGTGTTTTTATTGTTTAGAAGTACAGAAGTGATAAAACCAATGTATGTCAGAGTAATAATATATATGTCACAGTTTTTAAGTCTGGGTGCTTGTTTGTAGGTTTGATTTACATCCTGATGTAGAACTTTTGAATTTCTTGGCACTAGTTGAAATTCAGATATTTTATCGTAAATATGTTTAATTATGCAAATAATATGCATACGAACTTAAAAAATAGCATTATGTTATTCCAAAATTTTTCAACATATTGCATAACTCTTGAAAACAGATAACTGGATTGTAGAGTTTTTCGGAAGGATATTGCTCTTTTTTTTTTTTTTGCAATTGTTGATTTCTTTGATAACCTTAAAAAAGAGTTTTCTTTCTTGTTATAACTTTTAGTATGACTTGTATTGCTTTTGAACTTACAGATGGGTTTCAGAGCAAGCCACGTGAGAGCTAAAAAGTTCAGAATGCATTTCTGCAGTACATGCATTTAAAGTGAAGTATTTATGATACTGCCTTTGTGTGGAGGCGGGGAAAAAAAGGCTATAAAAATGTAACGGAGAAAAAAAGTATGTTGTCTTTTAGTGATATTGTTTTTCTCCCCTGCATCTGGGGATGACTGTAGAACAGTGATAGAGTTATTGGTTATCAGATAGAGTTGGCAAACAAATGACTTCACGGAGTCCAGTGCAACTTTCTGCTTTTGTACCTTACACCTTAATTACTACTGAGGGCTGATCAGTTAATTTCCATCTCTTGTAGTGTTTACAGATGAGAGAAGAACCATTTTAAAAATTCACTTTCAGATCTGGTTAAGTGTTCAGGACTCTGCCTTTGAAATTACCTCTTTTGCTACCAAGTAGCAAATATTTTTATTTGCCCTAGGGAAGGTTTTTCTCTTATGCTAATTTGGAGATTTTTGTAACTTGGGATGTGCAGTTCAATGTGAATGGTATCAGTTCTGTCGCACTTGATCATATGTCTAGCAAGGAGCTAATGAATTGTCTTTCACTTATTGGTGCCTCTGTGAAGGTTGCACCTGTTGGTGACATTTGTTTACTAAAATCCATGTGGGAACTAGATTTACTTCACATAAAGTTACCTGCAAAATCGCCACACGGCAGTAATTTGTTATTGCTTACTTAGGCTGTGTCTGAACAGGAAATGTTCTAGAGGTTAAAAACTCCCTTATTTTGTGAGAGGTCTCTTGAGCCCTCCCGCTCCCTGAAACACAGACTTCCTTAGACTATCATGCAGGATTTGGCTTTAACTCCCCTTCTTTTAATTTTAGGACATTTGTTCTACTCCTCGGTTATTTTCAAACAATCCGCAGGATGTGCAAGTGAAACAAGGAATTTTGGGAGATTGTTGGTTCCTGTGTGCCTGTGTAGCTTTGCAGAAGAGTAAATACCTACTGAATAAGGTATAGAGAAGTTTCTTGTTTCATATTTCAGAAGTTTTCTTCATCTAATTTACATTTGTATATTGCTCTTGAATCCTAGGCCTCAAAACTGAATATCAGTTTTGTTATGCTTAGCTTTACTGGTTTTGTTGTGATTTTTTTTTTCTGTGATTATTACAAACAGTTAATATTCAGCACATTTTAAACTGGCTTTGTTTTAAAAAAAAAAAAAAAATACTCATTGTTTGTCTTGATTTTGGCTTTTGTCATCTAGGTAATCCCTCCAGGTCAGCCCAGCTGGACAGATGAGTCATACCAAGGGTGCTTCACTTGTCGAGTCTGGCAGTTTGGACACTGGGTGGAAGTAACCATCGACGATCGTTTGCCTTGCCTTGGTGGTAAACTCTGCTTTTCCCAGTGTCAGACAGAGGATTTGTTCTGGCTTCCACTGTTGGAAAAAGCTTATGCAAAGTATGTGAACACTGTTATTGAGGGAAGTAAAGGGAGGTACAATACTTGTATACCTTCTGCTTCCTTATTTTATCTGACTGCTTTGGGCATAAAACTGTGTATTATTCAATATAAAGTGCAATGGCTGCCAGCTTTCCCATACTGGGTTGTGCAGAAGTCTCTCTTTAAACTGTAGATCTGTAAGGTGTGTTTCTAGTTGCATATGAGGTAAGATACTCTTAGGGAGAGAATTATGATGAAAAGTAAGAGCTGCAATGAATTATCAGGATTCAAATTATGTTCATTAAGTCACTAGTTTTACTAGTGCACTGTTTAAGGGCAGCTGAGGGCTCAATGAAAAGCAGAAGGCATGCAAATATTTTCATGGAAAACAACAACATTACATAAGTTTATGCTAGCTGAGGCTCTGGTTGTACGAGTTTCATTGCTCTTTTGCTTAATTTGATAGTTTATTATTTTGAGATGAAACAACCATATTGTTAATATGTTTGAAAATGCAGCTATTCTATGTTTTACGACACATCCATCAAAACGCTGTCCAGATGGACAAAACAATTTGGAGACAAAGTGCACTGGTAAGATATATCAAAAGTCCAAAAGAACTTGGACAAAAGATGGTGTGGTTGCCAGCAGAGGGCAGAAAAAGACTTTAAGTATGAAGTAATTTATTCAACTGTAGATACATGTTAAATCTTCTCTGTAGGTTTGAAAGGTAATATCCTTTGTTTGCTTTCTGTAGAGATCTTATTGTTCTATCTTTTCTTACCATTCTACTATAGTCTTCATTTCTTTTGCTATCTTTTGCATCTGCTGCATCAGGTAGGGGAGTCTCTTGATTTACTTAAATTGTTGAAGGAAGTGCTATGCTGATTGTTTGTGCAGAGTGAACAAAGAATAATTGAAGAAGAGGAAGAAATGTTGTTTATACAGAATGCAGTTAGTATATCATGAAAGATGATGTAGTGTACAAATAATAGGTACAAATGACTAGTACTAGACTAGAGCGGTTTCTATATAGGATGGAATGAATCGTAATAAACTTCCCATCAAAAACGGTGTAATGTCTGATTGCTTACATACGCTTTAGATGTTGTATGCTGTATAAATAAAACAGTATGTGCTTTCTCTTGCCTACTTGGGGTTATGAGGTGGGTATAGTCATGATTATGATATAGGGTGGGGTTGAAAGTACATAAGAACCGTGTTTCTTTAATTCTGCTGTTTGTAGAAACTTCTTGGGTTTTTTGGTTTTTGTTTGTTTGTTTGTTTTTTAATAGAGTGCATGGATCTTACGAACAGTTGTGGGCAGGACAGGTGGCAGATGCTTTGGTTGATCTGACTGGAGGAATTGCTGAAAGGTGGACCCTGAAAGGCTCTGGAAGAAACGTGGAGAAAGAGAAGACTGGTGTGGTTTTGGAGAAAGCAGTGTTTAGAAGATTAATGAATCTGAAGGAACAGTGTGTAATAAGCTGCTCAGTTCTCAATTCCAGACAAGGTAATAGTAAAGTTCTAGACATTTTTAAAGTAAATGTCTCTATTTAACAGGGTTCAGAGCACAAGGCAGCCAGCAAATGCATAGTGCTGATTCTAGTACCATACGAGTTTCACGGTGCAATTTTATATAACCTTGGATAAATAAAGATTTAAGGATGTTATTAAGTTCAGGATGGAGGGTGCTTTTGAGGAGTGCTTTTTATATTAAATTATATTAAATTTATTTATATTAGTTCTCAAAAACAAACGTGTATCCCCCTACTTCCTGAAAAAGCACCTAAAACAACCTTAAAAACCCCAATGAACTTCAGCACCAAGAATTTGTAGATGTTTGAGATCAAGTAGTGAGTTAATACGCTTTAAAATTTTCATTTATTTTATTTCTATATAGTCACAACTAAAATGAGCTGTTTGGGCTTTTTTATGCTGTTTTTGTACCGATTTAAAAACAACTTCCTTTTATCTCAAAATTGCCTTCTTTCACAGGATAGTTTAGTGTCATTCATTGTAACACATGGAGCAGGTTCTTTTGTTTACTTTCAAATACTCTTTTTTTGTGTGTTTTTTGTGTTTTATTCAGGTGCAAGCGAACGAGGAGAATTTCATGCCTTTATTGTGATAGACATGTTGAATCTGTCTGACATGTCAGGCAAGGAAATCTTCTTACTACGAATACGAAATCCTTGGGGGAGGCGGTGCTGGAGAGGTCCTTGGTGTGAGGGGTGAGTAGGTTTATTTTCATTTGGAAAATCATTTGTGAAAGTTCTGAAGCACAAAGCATACCTATGTATTACATAGGCAAATATCGGTAATAGGCTATAGCAGAGAAGAGAGACTTCAGCCTGAGCTCTCTAAAGGATTGCATACGGTAGTTCACACAGCTCATTGGTTCTAAGGCTAGTCATTTTGATCTATTAGTTCTGGTAATCTAAATTTTTTCAATAACTTTTTTTTTTTATCAAAGCATCATATCTTTTCGTAGAGATAAACTTCAATATGTTGGTTTATTTTCTGTCTCTGATTTTTGTGGTGCTTTTTTGTTGTTCTGCAATTGATCTAAGTATCTTTGCTCATAAGATGTTTGTGACTTATAAGTAGTCACTCAGCTTTACTTGGCTCTTCTCATTTGATCTTGTCTCAGTTGCAGAAGACATAAAATTTCATAAACATTTTATAAAATAAAATACAGCAGAAGGAAGGATGCTTGTGTTTTTTGCTTGTTTTTAGCAGTTCATATAGCAAAGTAACAAGAATGAAAGGGCAGACCCTACTAGCTTATTTTGAAAAGCGTTAGCATATTTAGACTATACAGAAGAACATGCAATTCTTGACCCAAGGAGCAAGCTTTCAGCATTAAAATATGGTAACAATATGATCATGTTAATAAACATTTTAGAGAAATAGGTTTTTTTCCCTGAGTTAAAAAGGTGGCTTAATCACATTAATTGAGACTTAAGTTGATGTTTTTTGCTTTTGGCAGAGTTTTGGTTATACACTTGGTCTCTTGTAGTTTCTTTGCCAAACAGTAAGTTGCCATGTAGTTGCAAGAGGGTGGCCTTAGAGCCCTGTTTTATTCAAGTGCAGAACTCTTATTTGTTGTTAGTGAAACAATCAAAAATGTTGAAAGTACTATCTTTTAATGGGCTCTAAATAATGAACTGTTTAAATTCTTGGTTTATTGTGACTTACCCAGCAGATTCATGGGGATAACCAGCTGCTTCATAGAGAGAGTGGTTTTTTTATGTTCATTGCACAGTATTAAAATTCTTTCAGAACAGTCACTCTGCAGCTTGTTTTACTTTTTCGTTGCTATTTTCAACAACTGTTAAAATCTTTATTTTGCTCTCACACTTTGGACTGTACTGTCTGTTGTAAGCAAAGTAGCTATTTCACCTAGAAGTATGCTGCTGTTTCCAATCTGGTGTTAGATTGTTTTTAAGTTTTCTTTGATGTGTTGTGATTCATACTTTGTATTATCCCTCTCACTGACTAGCAACATGTGTACAGAAATATTCAATGCAAGTATTTGACGATAAAATGAAGAAACCTCTTCTTATTGTCCTGCTCCATAGGATACTTGATAGAACATTTTATGGAACTTTATTGGGCAAAGAACTAAATGTTAACTTTTGCATTATGTGCAGTGGTCAAGGATGGAGCCAGCTAGATCCAGTGGTCGCCTCAGAACTGCTCTCACAGATCCAAGAGGGAGAATTCTGGGTTGATGAAGAGGAATTTTTCAGGGAATTTGATGAGATTACCATGGGCTTTCCAGTCAATGAGGAAGGACAACTTCAGAGCCTCTATACAGGTGTGGTATGAGAAAACATCTTTCTCATACAAATAACATTATGTCAATGGGAAAGACTGATTTGAATTGCAAATGAATGCGACTAGACCATAATTTCTCTTTCTCAGTCTTGCCCTCTCCTTTAGATCCATAGGCCTTTTCTGTCTCTGCTGGGAAGAATAGAGGAACAAGAGGAAATTGAAGATCTTTAGAGAAGTTGTTGATATTTCTCAGAGATCTAGTTACTTGCTAGTTTGTTGAGAGATTAGTGTTCTCTGTCTAGAAGGCTGTTGTTCTGAACAGCCTTGTGATTCTTTTTTTTTTTTTTTTTCGGATGGGAGATAAAGTTCAGATTTCTAGGAACAGTTTCTTGTTGTAAAAATCATGTCATCAATCTGCCATTACCACTTGTGACATTCATTCTCATGCCTTTCAAAATGTTGGTCATGAATATCTGCTTGGAGAAAGTGTCAAGGTTATGATAGCATGTTTTCTTGGGCTGGGGGATCTCTACCATATATCTGTTGTATAAAATTAAGTGGCCTCTGGTGTCTGAAATATGCACCATGGTTTTCTTATTTTGTTAGAGAAAGTGCTGCATCACTCGCAGAATCTTTTTGGATCCTGGGTGAGAGGCCAGTCTGCAGGTGGCTGCCGTAACAACAGCAGCTTCCCTACCAACCCTAAGTTCTGGCTGAGAGTCTGTGAAAAGAGTGAGGTGTGCATTGCTCTGCTGCAGAAACATAGGAAATACAGTGCTGACTGGGCTGGAAGAATTCAAAGTCTGACTCACTTAGCAGAGGAAAATCTGTCTTTGACTGAAGGCATACAGGGGAAGAATTATCAGGCTGTGGGATTGCATGTGTGGAAGGTAATACGGAGTGACGTTTTTCTTTTTGCAAATAGAAGTTTTAAAGCATTTCTGAAGCATCTGAGTAAAATAATTCATTTCCTACAGCATTGATATGATTCAACTGTTCACACATTTTACATCTTTGGTTTACGTTAGAATGATCCTGTTCATCTCACAATGCAGTTACTGTCTGTACAAACTATTAGTGGACTAGTACTTTCTTCTTATTGAGTGCCGAGTAACTTTTGGGACTGTTCTGAACTAGTTCATGACATTTCAGGCTGATTATTTGATGACTATTCCTAAATTTACTTCTCCTGAATATTAACTCTTCCTACTCCTCTTTGATGTTCAGCTTGTCTGCTGATACTCCTTACTTGTTTCCTTTTGTAAATGTATGCACGTTTAAAAGTGTTCTAAACAATATTTGATCATTTTTAGTTTTACTAAAAACTCCTCATTTTTCCTAAACCACCACACATCATTATGCATCTATTCTAGGTGGAGAAGAAACGATTTAACCTTCCAAAGACCCTCTCTGCTCCTCCAGTTGTAGGTACCGTCTGCCATTCCTATGATAGAGAAGTGCATGTATGCTGTGACCTTTCGCCTGGGTTTTATCTTGTTGTTCCCAGCACTTTTCTGAAAGATGCAGTAGGGAATTTCTTGCTTCGTGTATTTTCAACGGGAAGGATCTCTCTCAGGTAGGTTTAAAACAGAACAGAAAATTTCTTATATTGACATAAAAAGTACATATGAAGTATAGCACTAGGTGTAAATGTTCAAAATGTTTTTGAAGGGTTGTGCAGAGTACCAAGTAACAGCATTGTCTTTGAATTCAGGTACATAGTGTTCTATCTCCTTGTTTTTTGCATGAGGCTGCTACTACCCCTTGTTAAAATATCAGTCAGAAGTAGTCAATGAGTAGCATCTTGACTCTAAACTGCAGCCTAGTGTTTTGAGAAAGTGCATATTTTGTAAAAGAACTGAATAGGTTTCTGCAGAACATGTTTCTCAATATGTGAAAGTTCTTTCTTAATGTATGGAAAATTGAAGATGTACCACAGAAGTTAAAACCAGCTGTTACCGTAATCAGCCACAGAAAAGGAGAACAGTATATTATCATGTATGCTGGAAAACACATACTAACAGATTGCCTGACATATGACATTGTTATTAGCGATCAGTACAGCTTCAAATGCAAACGGCGTGTCAGCAGTGGACTCAGATGACATAATACTCACAGCTCATCTTTTCAGGACAAGTGTGGAAAATAGCACTGATGTTTACACTGTCTCCTTTAGCTGAACGAAGAATTGTTTTTTGAATTAAAGCGTTCAATACTGACAATACAGCTCAACTTCTTACTTGTGAAGGCCTCAAGAGGTATACCAGCATTATGATAAAATTCTTGGAAGGATCACTGCATATTGTGTTCTAGCTGATCTTTCCTCATAACTTGGAAAAATCTTTTCTTTCTGTATAAAAATGCTTGCTTATCCAACAGGAAATATCAGCAATGTCAGTCCAGTAGCTTTTAACGACTTCTAATTCTTTTAACTGTAGCTGACTACATAGCTGTCTCGGCACTTAAAAGTCAGTTATTCGTGAGTAATTCTGTGTTGGTGACCATAGCCTTGAAATAAATACTTAAGAAGACATGATGATGAATAGTTGTGTCGAGTCTGCAAAGTTGTACCTTCTTCTAATAAACCTGAAAAAATCTGAGGTTATCTAACAGCTTGTACCAGGCAAAACATACTGTTGGCAACATGTTTAAAAGCTGTTCAAATTTTTTTATATTCTGATAGTACACTATCAACTCATATCTCCTTGGAGAGAAGCTGGCACATCACACTACAAAGCCAGAATATGCATTAATCATTTACTCTGTGGAATTTGGAAGCAAGATGGCATCAAGTTTTAGACCAAATAGAGGTCTGCAAAACTATGAGGCTAATTTTGCTCTATGGGTGCAAATTGTGTACTTCTTACCAGCAATATATTTGGTTTCTGGGCATATTTCATCTGTATGTTGCATGTTGCGCTTTCAATGATGGGACAAAATTTCTAGTATTGCTGTTAAGTATAACACTTTCTCAGACTGAAACAGAGGTGCCAGTCTGGATATGTGTCTAGAATGGACAATCACAGTATAACATAACAGCTGTTATATGTTCTCAACTGGAAAATTGGAAATAAGAACAGATGATATGTTTCAAGTTATGTTGAAATACAATTTCAAATGCTGCACAACTGATAATGATACTAAATTGTTCATATGGGTGTGAAAAGCGGTGCTGGGCTAGGATCGAAATATGGGTTAACATTACAGTGATCAAGTCAGAGAAAACTACCATTTTACCTACAATTAAAGACATAGTGAATATAAAAAAGAATGCAATGTATGCTTTAGACTTACTGAGGTGGTCGTCTACTTCAGAAGTCGCTGTCAGTTCTATCACTTTCAGATAGGACAAATAGCACAAGAGTATCGAGGAAAAACGTGTAAGCTGCATTACTTCATGAATGTACAAAATCTATTTGGTTTTAGGGCACGGTTTGCATATGCTAGGTTGTTCTTGTGGAGTTCTGTGAATTACCTAAGGACTTAGAATTGTACAGTTCTCTTTTTCTTTGTGCTGCAAGTTTGGAGGAATTGTATTTATGTAAGTTTATGTAATACTAGTTCATTTTTGTGATGTTCTGGATTTTGTGAAATCATACAGATTTTATACATTTAGCTTCTTTTCTCTTTTATGTTTGATAGTGAGCTAAAACCACCCGCAGATGCTGCCCTCTGTGAAGAACTCCCAGCAGGTGAATGGGAGACAGTGCAGCTGCATGGATGCTGGAAAAATGGGCAAAGTGCTGGAGGTAGCAGGAACTTCCCCTCCTTCCATATCAATCCCTGCTTTCCCCTCTCCATTCCTACAGGACCAGGAAAAAGTAGTGTGAAAGTTACCCTCCGTCAGCACTGCCAAGATAGCAAGTGTCGTCCAATAGGTTTCCATATTTTCCAGGTAAGACTTCTTCTGGTCAGTTTGACTGCTCATTTGCCAAGTGAGAAGGTAGGCGCGTCAGTTAGTTCAGTGCTCCTTGCACTTGGCAAGGGACATGCAGCTTCTAGGAGAAACACAGGCTGGTCCTGTGAAGTAATGCCTGTGAAAGATACGGAATAACTATACACTGGGTAGCATAGTAACTAGATAATTGGTTCCACTGAATCCTTCCAACGTTCTAAATTAGTTTTAGAAACGATGAACTCTTTTGAGGATTTGCAAAGAATTCTCAGTGATTGAGGACCAGACTTTTTGGTAATTGATCATGAAAACTTACTTTCTTCGTCTCTAATAATTATTTACTTGTCCATTGGCAAGTGGTGTTGGATCCACAGGCAAAATTAGGATTCAAAAGGACTGATAAGTTGAACAGATGATGTGAAACAAAACAAGGTATGATTTGGTATGGACAAATACAGTTTCTACATATATGTGCCAGTGATCAACTGCATAAATGTAGGATGGGAAGCTTCTGGTTAGGTGGCTATTTTGTAGGGAATCAGAAAACGTGCTTCAGAAAAGGTGTTGCTTAAATGGAGAGTCTGGAATTGAGCATTAGGAGTGATCATATGGCTTCAAATACACAGTATATGAAGAAAGATTGAAAGAATGGCGTTTTTCATGCCTATAGGAGACTGAGAAGTCTAATATGATTTTTTAGTACAGGAAAGGCCACTAGAAGGAGGAAGGTCATAGTCTGCTCACCATATCCATGAGGTGAAAACCAAGGGCATTAGGCTACAGCAAAGAAGAGTGAGGTTAGACAATAGAAAAAGCTTTTGAGCTATGTGGGTAGTGGGTTGTATAAACTGTCTACAAACATGGTATGAATGATTTATCTGTACTTGATACTGCCATCTGGGTTTTCTGGGAGCCTTCCCATCCCTCTCATATAGCTCTGTACAGAAGAGTGAGTATTTGGAGTGGAATAGATATGGAACATACCATACTATGGTATACCAGGAATTTAACATTGTGAGGCCTGAAATATACGAAAAAATAGGCATATTTTCATTTTTTGCAGGTGCCTAACAGCAGCTGGAAACCACATACTTCCTCTTTTCTACACTTGGAGCCACTGGTTAGCTGTGTGCCTCATTGCTATTCACAGGAAGTAAGCCAACTTTGCAGGCTTCCTGCAGGAAGTTACGTAATTATACCCTCTACGTACTTGCCCGATACAGAAGGCAATTTTACAGTGGCCATAGCAACCAAAATAGACAGGTAAAAATATGTTGACTTCTATTTGCATTTCTAGTATTTGTAGTGCATGCATTACAGGATGTTTGGAAACAATAACTGTAGTGACATGTTAGAATCATAGAATCATAGAATC